AATTGACCAAGAGCACTGTAGTTGTTCAATAATGAACTTCATCCTCAAAAATACAACTTGCCTAATAATTGTGCATGCAGTGTAATGGGATAAAAATAATTCTGACCTCTTTTATCAGACTATTTGCCTGGACAAGTGATTTCTTTTTATTGTTGTTATATAAAAATACTGATTATTTGCCATCAAGTCAGTGTCAACTCTTAGTGACCACATAGATCTTCTTTAGGAATAAAAATACTGAAGCCTTTTGTAATTATTATCTTAATTCTCTGACCGTTAGTTACACATATTTTCATTTATAATAAGTATCAGGAAGAGGCTCTAACTCAGCAATAAAGCACATAATAAATATAAGGAAGAGGTTATAGCTTAGTATTTAATATGCAGAAAATTCCACATTTCTCCCTTAAAGATAATTCTAGTCAGAATGAAGGGCAAGAAAAAATAAGGCAGGGAATTATCTCTACTCTAACCTTCAGCTATTCCCTATCTATTTGTAGAAGTCTCATTGCAACAAGATAGAAAATGAAAACCTAATCTTAAAAATTGGCATAATCAACACCTCAGTAACACTTGTCAAGCACTTCTAGGTCAAATTTAACTATGGAAGAGGGAACTCACCACCTGGAGTGAGTGGGCAATTTTCTTCCTGGGATTCAGAGTTTTGGTGCTCCCTGGAAAGAAGGGTTAAAAAAGCCCTACCCTCTCCTTAATGGGAGAGAGTGTTTTATAAAAAGGGAACTGAAAACAAGCAGGTATGAGGAGAAGAGGACAGCAGAGATATGGGAAAGGGGAACTCCAACCCAAAGGCAAGCACCTCAGCAGCAGTCTTCAGACAGCAGAAGAAAAGTTAGGTTTGTGGAGCTGCAAGACCAGTTGTGAGGCAAAGCTGAGAGTCAGGGGAGGAAAAGAGCCTGGCTACATAGAGTCTGCAAACCCAAACAAGCCTGCAAACCAAGCCCACTGAGTGCAGCAGCCCAGGTATAGAGCTCTACAAACCAGCTCCAGAAACAGAGGACTACAAGTGCTGGTGTGGGGGAGAGAAAAGCCCATCTGTGAATCTATAAAGGAGTAAAAAGGGTTTTCACATGCAAATGGACTGAGATTTGCTACAA